GAGGGCTGGTTGTCTTCTACTTACGACACAGCTGGCTGGCACACCGCTCACCGTTGCAGTCGCTGCACGCTGCTCCCATCTTGTATGGGCGCCCTGGGTAATTCCCACTGCGAAGGAAAGTAACACTGCTCCCAAACCGCCCGGGCTCTGGGCTCGGTATTACCTGCCCACCCCTGATAACTGCACCAAACACAGCTCAGTGCTTCTGCTTTGCTTGGAGCATGGCCAAAGCGAGATTTACAGCATGCCTCAAACTGCCCATAAATACACTGAGATGGATTTTATATGCATGCAATGTCAGCAGCGCTAAACTTCGTGGTAAAACCTCATTCCTTTCAGCAAGGTGAGGCTTTCATTGCTTGGTCTAAGCTGAAGAAAATCCTTTGGAGTATATTCACTTTAGGAATTGAAATTGTGCATGCATCTTGCTTTGGCCCTTGGCAGAGTTGAAAACCGTTAGAGATTAGATAAATAAAGAACTTAAGTTGCTGCTTCTCAAAAGCAACAGCCAGACGTGACATTACTCCACTTCTTCGTATGCAACAGCCTGTTTGCAGTGTCCTCATCCAGCAGGGAAGGGCCCAGCTTTAGAGCCCTCTCTAGAGCCCCTCGCATCCCCGGGGAGCGCCCTGCCTGCTCTGCTGGGCACTGTTGAGGGTTGAGGGCACCCCTCCGCTTCCTTCTAGGGTCCCTGCCAACGCAGGGCAAGCTATCCAGCATGATTTTGGCCCTCTGCACAATACAGATATTGGCTAAGGGGCAGAAGGAGGAAGGCTGGACTCATGTTTTTGGGAGATCCAGGCATGAGGCTTGAGGGAGAGAGCACCTCCCGGCAGCTCTGGGGGCCTGCTTGCCTGTGCACAGGGTTTCTGCACCATCTAGCATGGTGGGGTGCATAGCGCCCTGGGTGATCGGCAGCTTTTGGCTTGAGAACCAGAGGGGGCAATGGTCCCTCAGCCCGTTTGGGCGTGGGGCTTCTGGAGAGAGCGGTTTTGTGGCTTTGGCACAGCAGCAGCTGTGCCATTTCAAGGTATCTGGTCAAGGGTGTATATTCTTCAAGGATGAAGCATGGACAACTGGAATGCCAAACTTGCTCGAGTTCATGGGCTGGCGTGGCCTTGGCCCAACATGCTATGCATGTAAAGCTTTTAAAGCTGTATGTAGACTGTGGTGGCATTAATTAGCTGGAGAAGGGTAAAAAAACATCTATCCTAGATGCAACAAATATCCTAGTGACAATGCATATGAAGGACCTCCAGATAAACTTTTGCCTTGAGGAGCCCCAGCCTCATGATCAGCCCTCAGCCCCAAACTCTCATGCTAAAGCTAAGACTGCAGCTGCAAGCATTGCACACTTCAGTATTTATCCAAACCATTGACCTAGAGGCTTAATTCTGCAGGCACATGTGTAAATATTTTCAGGCTTTGGGCTTGCACCTTGGCAACCGTCTGGGGCCATCTTGGCACTCAGGAGCAAGGGATTAGTTTTCGCATGATTACTTTAGTATTTTCATTTCAGTATCTTAAATTTTACCCTTTCTACCAGTGCCACTGCTTTTTGGCCACAACACATAGTCCTCATCTAGCCAAAAAAAGCTGGTTGGACAGAGGTGTACCTCCTTCTTTATTTTGGGGACCGTTTCCCCCCACAAAACACATGAATGGATGGACTGATCTAATAAAGTTGCACGTTGTGAGAGGGAAGGGGCAGGACCCCAAACCCTGTGAAATATTTGTAATGAAAAACCTTACGCTGGCCCATAGTTGCAGATGAAGTGCGCTGCGTTGGTTATGGAGGAGTATGCCACCCTGGGACAGAAATGGACAGCACAGCCAACCTTGTAGCTTGTAGCCCAAACAATCTGCAAAGACAGACAGGTACACTGGTGACAAAGGCTTTGCTTCAGCATCTGAAGCGTTACGGAGAAGACCTGCCCTCCTGTTTCATGACAACAAATTGGCTGAGGAGTACTCCTTGGGCAGGCTTCATGGGGGAAAGCAGCAGTGATGGATCTCGAAATCATAGTTTATTCTGAAAAACACCCGATTGTTTTGCACAATTCACCAGGTGTTTATTAAAACAACTGAAAGAAAGAATAACTGGCTCTAACAGGTAGTTTTCCTTTCTTGCAAAGGAGAAGGTGACGTTCGTCTCCTTTGCTTCATGGCAATCCATTAGCTTTGCTACAGCTCCTACACGGTCTGATTGCCCCCGTACTAAATCCGGAGGGGATGTGTAGGCAAATTGCTGGAAAGCACTGGTGTTACAGGAGGAGCAGGGAGAAGGAGCATGTCCAGGCTGTGGTCCTGCCTTTTAGCATCATGGCCACGACTAAGATAATCTAGAGGTGAGGGCATTACATCATCTAATGATCCTCTGTCTACTACAAGCCGTTCAGTTCGACCCAGCATCCTATATCCAGCTCAAAGATTACAGTGCAGCCAAATGCTTCAGTCCTGGAAAAACAAACCCCGTGACAGAAGCAGAGGGGAGGCGAGGGCACAGTGGTACCTGAGGGCTGTACAACAGCCGTGATGACTGACCACGTGAGAGATGTGGAGAGATCCTGGCAGCACAGGGGATGAAGAAACACACTCACGCCTCTGCCGACTCGAAGGGGAGGCCTGGCCCTTTCTGTTTGTGGCTGTTTGGTGCCAGCTCTGGGAAGAGGACACACTGCTTGGGCTCCTGAGGGTGTCCTCAGTGCAGCAGCAGAGCAGAGGCTGTTCCCAACGTCAGCCATAGACAGCTGCATCCCTGAGGATGGTGAAGGACCAAATCACAGGACCCTCCCTTCCTGGGTGGCCACTGGCTGAGGTACACGCTGGGGATGCTGCAGTAATCGTACCCAGAGGAAATTCCTCCACAGCTGGGAAGGAGGGAGAGGAATGAGGGTTTCCCCAAAGGTACAGACCCAAGGATGCCTCCCAAAGCTGGGCAGACACACAGCTTCTAGCTATAGTCACTATCACCGCTGACTCCAAGTGAGAATAATCTTATTTTCTCATTCTCCCCCATGCAACTGTCTGGGCTGCTCCTTTACAAACAATGTGGTAAACAGCACTGCGCCTTAGTGCCAGGTAAGGTGCGTTTCACCGCAGTTTCCAGAGGCTGACTCTTGCCGTGTCCTTGTGAGCAAGGTCAGAAAGCAACACGCTGTCACCTCTCATGGCTCCTGCATCCAAATATCTTCTCTGCAAGCAAGAACCCGCGTGTGTCGTTCAGACACCCCAACAGCTTCAGCTCATCCCTTCAAGTCCTAAATGCATATCTGTATCTCTGCAGAAAATATTAAATAGCTTCAGGTCAAAATTGAATCCCTAGAGCCACTGTTGCAAGCCGTCCTGCTCTCCCATAGCCGTGGTTAGTTCTTTGGGAATCGTGGTTGGGAAAAATGCCCGCATGATGCTTGCAGAGCTGCAGACATCTTTTTACGTGCCGGTATTTCCCCAGCCCTTGGCATGGCTTGTGGTGCCATGCGGAGGCTGCCTGCCAGAGCTGGGACCTCGTCCCACCACGCACTGCAGCCCACAGCCATTGCTGTTGCCTGGTTTTTGGCCACTGCTTGGCTAAATCTGAGTGCTTGACAGCTGTCCTGTTTTCCTCCTGGAAACAAAATACAACTGGCATATTTAAAAAAAAAAACCACGCAGTGACTCTTTTCCTCCCTAAAATGGGGACATGAGAACATCTCTTGTGCCCAGATGGAAAATAAGACTACAACACTTGGAAAACAGTTCACTGAATTTTCAGAAGTCTAGAGTTTCTGTGTCAAAATGGCAACGCTGGTTCATGGTTTAGATGGAGAAATGCAATGCCTACCTGCGTATAGTGGCCGCACGCTCCTCTGCAGTTATTGGTGGAATATTGGTAGGCGCTGACCTCGTTGTACCAAGAGGTGATGGCTCCTTGCACAGTAAAAACAGAAAGTGTGCCAGTCCAGAGGTTTTCTCCAACGGGGGTAAATTTGGGGTGAGCCTGCCCTGGATCTTTGAGGTACGTGTTATGTTTAAACAGGCATTTCTTTGCCCAAGCTTTCGCGGTCTTTGCCAAATCTGGATCCCAAGTCTGCAAAATAAAGACAACTAAAAATCACTTTGGTATCTCAGCAATGCAGTAATTCAGAGCAACTTTCTGGAAAAGCTGGGTCTCAGTAGCGTATATGCTTCATGTTCCTTTGGTTTTTGCTTCTGCCGAGACTTACAGAGCTACATGGTAAATTGGCTTGTAGGTTCATTTCTGATTTGAACTTAGTCGCTCATTAAACTTGAGGAAGTTTTTGGGGTGGTGGGTGATCTTGGCTGACTGGTTTGTTGGACACCAAGAGCTGTGCCTCAGTCAAAGACAGTGTGTGGGGCGCAGTGTGCATTTCCAGGCTGGGCCAGCTATGAGAGAATGTTAATTTCATTTAAACAGTGAATTTACAGGAGATCTGGGACTGGGGGGTATGCTTACCGTACTGATCAGACTGGAGTGCAGCCTCATGCATTAAGGCCCCTGCTTGCAGGTCAGTTCACAAGCATGCTGCGATTTTTGGGACAGTTTAAACTCAACCCCTTGGTTTGCATCTTTGTGTTTGGTGGCTTCAAATGTTAGTGCTGAATTCATATTTGTGGAATCACTCATTCACTTGCTATTCAATCCTACAGAAAGTGGTTATTAAAGCAATTGAGTTATAGAAATGTCTTTTGTTTGCACTGGAGGTGGTGTCTGGTTTTGCTGGGTTTTCTTGTGCACACAGCTTGATTGAGCAAATACTGCATTGTACCTCCTGGAAAATGCAGTACCACAAGCGTGTGCCTGTACTTCTACTTACACTTTGTGTCACATAAATGAAGTTGTTCAGCACTGCTGAGCTATTTTGGGTTGGGACTTTTTTTGGGGAAAAAAAAATAATAATTGTCCTTTTCTATATGGATTAAAATATCTCAGTTGCTTCTGCAAACAATAGAATCACTAGAGAAATTGTTTTGAATGGATCAGTAACAGTGACTAAGGAAAAGGACTTGGAGCTTGTTAGATTTTATGGCTATGTTTTACATAATATAACTTTTTTGTACCATAGATAAGTCTGAAACAATTTGTGTATTGTTTATGCTACCAACAAGTAATTAAAAATTGCAAGATCATCCCAAAATACATCTACAGAAATTTGAAAATACTTTGTAACCTGTGTCTTCCATTTCTTCCTATGGCTAACATTTGGAGGGAGGCGTGTATTTTCCCACAACACTACCACATAAGTAATTTGCCTAGGAAGTCAGTGTACTGAATATTAAAGGTAAACTTGGGGCAGGGGATCTTATTTCAAGCGAGCAGTTGATATTTCCTTAGATGATAACTTTTAAGGACAATTAACAAACTCTGGCATTGTACGGAAGTTATCTTCCAGTCCTAGCATTACTGCAAGACAGAGGCTGCAGTTTACATCTTCGCCATGCTTTGAGGTCACAAGGAGAAGTCCGTGATGAAAGATGTATGACAGTGGTGGATGCACCTTAGTGCTTCACGGTCTTGTTTTTCACATTCTGCTTTTTAAGAGTCGGCACATCTCTTCTCCTTCATCCTATAGTAGTATTAATAATAAGTTTAAAGATCCATAAAGGTATACATATTAATAAGTTTAAAGGTAAATTAATAAGTTTAAATGTACTTTCCTTTTTTTGTGTGAATGCTTGAACTGGCTGACAGTTGAAAAAGCAATGTGCAGAAACTGATAGTTCAGCATGATCTTTAGTTTAAGTATAGTTATTTGCTTATGAAACTACATTTATGCAAAAACATTGGACTAAACTGCATGGGGAGAAATGCACAGGACAGGGAAGTTTGCATATAGATATCATTGCTGTTTGACAAAATAGTAATTACAATTTTTTTTCCCCATGAACTATTTCTCAGTATTGGTTTTATAACTCAGATGAGTTGCCTACTGATTTAGGGAGGGAAAACTGAATGTATGATAAGTGAAATGTGATGTGAGGCAGCAGTAAGTCAAAGAGACTGTTGTGAAGCCCTGATGAAGCTGGTGAGCTGCTGGTTTTGAGGAGCCTTGGAACAGACCTGAGCAATGCTTTGGGTGGATGGGAAAGGGGTCACATTTGTCAGGTAAAATAAAAGTTAGATCAACATTCTCATTTTCTAATAAATGTATTACAAATATAGATGGTTGGGCTTTGTTACTTGCAGTTAAAGGAGTTTGCAGTTAAAGTATTTTCTTTCAAAAATTATTTTTCCAAAAGGTGGAAATGCCCTGAGTTCATAGTCTTCATTTTTACCTATGTCCTGGTTTCAGCTGGAATAGAGTTAATTTTCTTCCTAGTAGCTGGTACAGCGCTGTGGTTTGGATTTAGGATGAGAACAATGTTGATAACACACCGATGTGTTAGCTGTTGCTAGGTAATGCTTACACTAGTCAAGGACTTTTCAGCTTCCCATGCTCTACCGACCGAGAAGGCTGGAGGGGCACAAGAAGCTGGGAGGGGGCACAGCCAGGACAGCTGACCCAAACTGCCCAGAGGGATATTCCATACCATGTGGCGTCATGCTCAGTATATGAACTGGGGGAAAGCTGGCCGGGAGGGCCGCTGCTCGAGGCCTGGCTGGGCATCGGTTGGCGGGTAAGCAATTGCATTGTGCATCACTTGCTTTGTATATTCTTATTACTAGTAGTAGTAGTATTTTATTTTATTTCAATTATTAAACTGTTTTTATCTCAACCCATGAGTTTTCTCACTTTTACTCTTCTGATTCTCTCCCCCATCCCACTGGGGGGGAGTGAGCAAGCGGCTGCGTGGTGCTCAGTTGCCGACTGAGGTTAAACCACGACAACATATCTAGGTGGACAGTTATCTACAGCAAACAGAAGTTCCCTGTGAAATAAAGAAGTCATCTTCTTTTCCTCATTTTTGAAGTGCTAAAGGCCATTCAAAATTGAAGAAATATGCTGTTTTCAATTCCAATGCTTTTACTTTCATAATAGATTTTATCATGTATTGTAGTGCTTTCCCCACATTAAATTCTTCCTGGGAGAGGTCATACTTAAGACTAGGGTTTTTGCAGTGTTTTAGAAGAAACTTACCATGATTTAGTTCTTGTTTTATTTGTAATAATCTTTGTTTGTTTGTTTGTTTCTTAAGCTGTTTTTTTCAGATTTCAGTTCTTCATTTTTTCAAAAGGAAAAATTAGGCGCAAATTAAAAAGATGAATACTGCTCTTTTAATACATCATAGCAAGATTTTGTTAGTGTAGGGCCAGTAAAGCAATCTAGAAAACAGAATCTGGAGCAATATGTACTGGAAGTTCAGGATGCCCAGCTGAAGAAAGCTGAAGTAAAAGACACATCTAGAAGAGAAACTAAATTGTTTCCCGTCAGGCTTGCAACTCGCACTTGCTCACTGCTCACTAATGTGCCCTCCCTAATGGGCACTTCTTTTTTAGTGTTTGACAACCAGAAATGGAAAATGAGCTTTATTTTTTTGAACTGCGGTTGGGGTGTTGCTAATTACAGGCATGCTGGTGGTGACCATGCAAGATAGTCAGAAAGAGGAACAAAAGGAAAGAGATCAGAATTAAGCCAATCGCTATGGTCCCTCTGAGAGATCTGTGGAGATTATCCCAAGAAGAAACACGATATCTTAAGTATTACCCAGTCAAAGCACAAAAGGTGATGGATGTTGCAAGAGACAGCTCCCAACCTACTGGAATGGAACACCTCACAAATCAGAGATGGGCTTCTCAGCCGTAAGCCCAGCTTTGTGTGCGCATTTACAGCTTCCTCCTTGCTGGGTTTTCTGCGTGCCACCCAGCGGGGGGACAAGTGTCACGAGACATCTGAAACGAGAGGTGGCCACTTTTGGGTATATTTTGAATCACGACAGGCTGTCTTTTGCACGGTGGCTGCAGACGCTACCGCCCGACGTGGCCAGGGAGAAGGCAGGGGGGCACAGCGGCGCGGGACCTGATGCCTCCAGCGCTCACTGCTGCTGCACTTGTTGCTTTTTGGCTTCCCCTGCAGCCCCAGCACCTAGGAACAGCTGCTCTGTTGGCTCAGTCCACGAGAGCCTTGCAAAGAAAGCTTAGAGAAAGCTCTCCAACGTCATTTGGCAACGGTCTCTGCCCTTGCAGACTCAAGTATGAAAGGTTGTGCTTAGGTCTGCACATAAATTACACCCCGGGCTGTTGAGCTGCGGTGCCTTGGAATGAGGAGGCTTTTCACAGCACAAAACGACAGCGTTAGGTTGAGGGTTAAAATCTTGAGTTTCAAATGAGGAAATTTTAAGCCAGGCAAATTTATACACATAGCCAATTGTATAAAGCCATCTGATAATCAGAGCCTTTTCCTCTGCTTTAAAAAGAAGTAGCTCTTTTGACCTCAGGAGGTTGGGTTTTTTTTTCTTTTTTCTTTTTTTTGCATTTGATCACAAAAACAATCTTTCAGAATCATAAACACCGTCACAATGCTACACACTTGCACATAAGTCGTGAAGATCCCCTTACCATGTAGAGCATGTTGCTGGCTGGTGGATTCACTCCAGACCGGAATCTGTTATGGGTTCGCACACATTCCTCAATAAACTTTGGATCTCCAACATCAGGCAATGTCGGTGGTTCATAGGAGTCAGAGGAACGACAGAAGTGCAGAAGAGCCAGCACACAAGCAGAAAATCTGCTTTTCATTATTCTCAGCCTCTGGTCTTCCAGCTTTAAGAGCAGAGTGTTTCAGCTGTACGAGGTGGTTTTAGCTCCACCAGCAGCGTTTTGCTTGGAAGGCTTGTGGGCTGGGCTTATCTTAGCCACGGTAATTGAATATGGCATTGGTCACAGGAAATGAGTCCTATTTCAGGAGCGTTGCTATGAGAATAAGGAAATTAAGCTACAATTCACACCAGAGCTGTGGCAGCTTTGTCTGTCTCTTTTTTTCTTCTTTCTTTAATTGTGGTGGGCAAGCTGCTTCTCTCCTGTCCTTTGGGCTTCTTTGTTTTTGTTTCTTTGGCTCCCACCATCCCATCCATAGCAATCACTATGGATTGTAGTGAAGTTTTGCATAAATTTTCTGCTTTTCATGAAAATAGCATTGCTGTTAAGGCTGTTACTCTGAGCCAAAATGCTGTGAGAAACCATTGATTTGAACTATGACTAAATTTATGACTAAATGACTGAACTATGACTGTATTTATTGAACTAAATAATTTATTTGAACTATGACTTTTACTACAGTAAAAGTGTATTTAAACTGTTTAAAATTTAAACTGTATTTAAACTGTATTTAAATATTTACAACAGTCACTTTGGTTGTACATCGAGCTGTCGGAGGGGTAAGTTTGGCTGAGAACTGCAATTTAAATACGCTGCAGTTATTGATGGGTTTCTTCTGTGACCACACACTTGTGTTATGCATTGCTATCAATTTCTCCTCCCAAGCTTTAGCAATTCTTAATTCATTCCCTGCAACCCAAGCCCCCAGCAGAGTTGGGTGCTATGAAGTTTGCTGCTGTCTCATGCCAGGTGCCCAGCACCCACACTGGGTTTCACAGCCAGGAGCTGGGAGCTGATGTCCCATGCACATTGCCTCAGGTGCCCAAAAATCCCTGCTCAGACCCACCACCATCACCACCCTCTTCCTCACACTGCCCTTAACTATCACCTGTCCATCAAGCTCAGGCTCTTTCCCACAGTCCCAACCTGGACATCTCTGTGGGAATGAGGTTGGGTTTCTTCCCACTCCAGGTTTCGTTTTAGGAATCTGCATCCTTTGAACAGCTGGGTGTAGGTCCCAGTTATCGCTTCTGCACGTGCAGTCCTGTAGGTGTTGGGGCTAGTGGTAAGGCCATGTTCAGGTTGGTGGTCTGGGGTCACACTGTGAGCCTGCAACAGCAGCCCCACCAAGCACACATTAGGTCCTGTGGGTCGCACATCTCCAGCTATTCATGGGGAGACTGCTTAGAGGTGAAAAGGGTCTCTGAGGCAATCGTGGATGAGAAACACTGTGCTCACAACTCCCCTATGGACCACTTCTTAGAGCAGAATAATGTGATGGGTTGACCCCTGCCAGCAGCCAAGCACCCACACAGCCGCTCACTCACTGCCCCTTCCCCAGCAGGACAGGGGGAGAACACAGGAAGAAGAAAAGTGAGAAAACTCATGAGTCAGGATAAAGACAGCTTAATATGTATGTAAAGTCAGGACGCTGGTTGAGAGAGCCCTTGGGAGACCATCCTGAAGGGCAAAGGGATCCAGGAAGGCTGGACGATCTTCAAGAAGGAAGTCTTCAAGGCGCAGGAGCAGGCTGTCCCTGTACGCCGCAAGAAGAACGGGCGGAGAAGACGACCGGCCTGGCTGAACGGGGAGCTTTTGCTGGGACTCAGGAAAAAAAGGAGAGTTTATCGCTTGTGGAAGAAGGGGCAGGCGACTCAGGAAGAGTACAGGGATCTCGTTAGGTCGTGCAGAGAGGAAATGAGAAAGGCAAAAGCCCAGCTAGAACGCAACCTGGCCGCTGTCGTTAAAGACAACAAAAAAAGTTTTTACAAATACATCAATGACAAGAAGAGAGCCAGGGAGAATCTCCATCCTTTATTGGATGCGGGGGGGAACATTGTCACCGAGGATGAGGAAAAGGCTGAGGTACTTAATGCCTACTTTGCCTCAGTCTTTAGCAGGCAGACCATGTTGCTGGCTGGTGGATTCACTCCAGACCGGAATCTGTTATGGGTTCGCACACATTCCTCAATAAACTTTGGATCTCCAACATCAGGCAATGTCGGTGGTTCATAGGAGTCAGAGGAACGACAGAAGTGCAGAAGAGCCAGCACACAAGCAGAAAATCTGCTTTTCATTATTCTCAGCCTCTGGTCTTCCAGCTTTAAGAGCAGAGTGTTTCAGCTGTACGAGGTGGTTTTAGCTCCACCAGCAGCGTTTTGCTTGGAAGGCTTGTGGGCTGGGCTTATCTTAGCCACGGTAATTGAATATGGCATTGGTCACAGGAAATGAGTCCTATTTCAGGAGCGTTGCTATGAGAATAAGGAAATTAAGCTACAATTCACACCAGAGCTGTGGCAGCTTTGTCTGTCTCTTTTTTTCTTCTTTCTTTAATTGTGGTGGGCAAGCTGCTTCTCTCCTGTCCTTTGGGCTTCTTTGTTTTTGTTTCTTTGGCTCCCACCATCCCATCCATAGCAATCACTATGGATTGTAGTGAAGTTTTGCATAAATTTTCTGCTTTTCATGAAAATAGCATTGCTGTTAAGGCTGTTACTCTGAGCCAAAATGCTGTGAGAAACCATTGATTTGAACTATGACTAAATTTATGACTAAATGACTGAACTATGACTGTATTTATTGAACTAAATAATTTATTTGAACTATGACTTTTACTACAGTAAAAGTGTATTTAAACTGTTTAAAATTTAAACTGTATTTAAACTGTATTTAAATATTTACAACAGTCACTTTGGTTGTACATCGAGCTGTCGGAGGGGTAAGTTTGGCTGAGAACTGCAATTTAAATACGCTGCAGTTATTGATGGGTTTCTTCTGTGACCACACACTTGTGTTATGCATTGCTATCAATTTCTCCTCCCAAGCTTTAGCAATTCTTAATTCATTCCCTGCAACCCAAGCCCCCAGCAGAGTTGGGTGCTATGAAGTTTGCTGCTGTCTCATGCCAGGTGCCCAGCACCCACACTGGGTTTCACAGCCAGGAGCTGGGAGCTGATGTCCCATGCACATTGCCTCAGGTGCCCAAAAATCCCTGCTCAGACCCACCACCATCACCACCCTCTTCCTCACACTGCCCTTAACTATCACCTGTCCATCAAGCTCAGGCTCTTTCCCACAGTCCCAACCTGGACATCTCTGTGGGAATGAGGTTGGGTTTCTTCCCACTCCAGGTTTCGTTTTAGGAATCTGCATCCTTTGAACAGCTGGGTGTAGGTCCCAGTTATCACTTCTGCACGTGCAGTCCTGTAGGTGTTGGGGCTAGTGGTAAGGCCATGTTCAGGTTGGTGGTCTGGGGTCACACTGTGAGCCTGCAACAGCAGCCCCACCAAGCACACATTAGGTCCTGTGGGTCGCACATCTCCAGCTATTCATGGGGAGACTGCTTAGAGGTGAAAAGGGTCTCTGAGGCAATCGTGGATGAGAAACACTGTGCTCACAACTCCCCTATGGACCACTTCTTAGAGCAGAATAATGTGATGGGTTGACCCCTGCCAGCAGCCAAGCACCCACACAGCCGCTCACTCATTGCCCCTTCCCCAGCAGGACAGGGGGAGAACACAGGAAGAAAAAAAGTGAGAAAACTCATGGGTCAGGATAAAGACAGCTTAATATGTATGTAAAGGGGGGTGAACAAACAAACAAAACCCCCAAGTGATGCAAAGGCAGTCACTCACCACCCCCAATGGCAGACTGATGCCCAGACGGTCTCCGAGCAATGGCCACCCTGGAAGCCAGCCCCCTAACTTTCTTCTTCTACCCCAGTTTGTTTTGCTGAACACAATGTTCTATGGCATAGAATATCCCTTTGGTCAATTCGGGTCAGCTGTCCCAGCTGTGTCCTGCTCCCAACCACTTGCCCCCAGCCTACATGCTGTTGCTAGAGATGCAAGATGGCAGCAGACAAGAACTGACAACTGTGAAATTAATGATGTATCTTCTTACAGGGTGACATTTTGCAGCATATGACAAGAGCCCAAACATCTGGGGCTCATTTTTATTCTGTGGAATGCCATGCTCCTTCAGAGCTGCAACATGGCTCAGAATTTGAGTCACTGTGTTCTCAAAACATTAGGACTAAGATAAAGGAGGAGAAACAGTTTTAAATATTGATAGCACAGTTATGCATTGCAAATATCACCCAGCATGTCTTAGCTTGAAATAGAGGTTTGTTTCCCTTACTAACAAAGGTATATAGGAACAATAGGGGTCGAGGGCTAAACGTCTCTAAAAACAAACTGAATCCATCAACAGTTTGGGCTTTTTTAATGAGGTTGAGATCTTCCATTTCCAAACCAGAATCTGTCCTGGGCCCATTTCATCTTCCCTCTCCTGTTTTGATTCCCTGCTTCCCCTGCCTTCCCCTGCCTGCAAGCTCAGGATGGCTGTCATCTACTCTGCATTTCAGATTTTGTCACCATCTCACATCCTAAAATTAAGCTCTCCCCATTGACACTCCATCTTAATCCTTGCTCTGTCAACTTTCCCTGGTATTCTTCTAGCTGTGGAGGACAAAGCTTAACCCTGAGAGGAGAAGAACAGACTAGTACAACTGACAATAGACTAACTTCAATGGAGACTGATACACATGGGCTAAATAGAGTAAAGGACAAGCTTTACTCAGTCTGTTCTTAAAAATAAAACATACAGTTAAATCTCCATTATCTGGGGAAAGTGATGCCTGGGATAATTGACAGTTAATGGAGATGAGTTATTGCTTCTTTTGGATCCGCTATGCCGCTTCAGACATGTCTGTGTGATGCTCCAGGTTTCCAGGAGGCTTGTTAGCATGTATAGTAATATACAGTCTATGTGGTCCCCCTAGCAATCAACTCCTGAGCCAGAGCTAAGAGGCTCGTGCAGACGTAGAAGCATGTTGCAGCTACTGCCAATAAATTACACTAACTCTGTGCGCAGCCACTTATATCTTGCCTTGCGTGAAGAAGAAGCCTTTTCTATGCTGGATA